TGCAGGTTTGTTATTTTTCATAGATGCTATTAATATATACTTGGGACGTGTATGAAGGCTTTTGGTTTATAAATTTATTTATTTACAGGTATCATAAATGGAGGATTAGGAAATACCCATGTAAACAAAGTGTTCGCTGCCTTGAACATGCCTGAATTGAACTGGCACACTTATCAAACGTATGAGAAAGAAGTCGGCAAGGTGATGGAGTTACTTGCCCAAGAGACGTGTTTAGCTGCTGCATTAGAAGAAAGACGATTAACTATTGAAAATGCTGAGGATATAAAAAAGTTACTGTGAGTACAGCGAAAGTGTCAGTGTTGAAATTTTTTACTTATATACAAGTGTCAATAGAAACATTACAACGAATCGTATATTTGTTAACATGTGATAAAAAAATTTTTTTAATTTTTACAAAGAGATCAAATTACAGAGCAATGATTTATTTTTATGCAATACAATGTAACAGCAGTGATTATTTTTATTGTTTGATCAAATTCGATAAACTCAATTTTTAAATTAAATCAGTGAATTACATATTTACCATGTTTGAGCTAAGACAATTATGTTCTTTAAGTTATTAGTATGAAATAAAGAATGAGTATTTACCCCATGTACCGTTGAAAAATGTATGAAAATTTTCATTACATTTGATTTCCTTTTAATCCGACTCTTTCTCGTCATTATCCTTTTTTCCAGGCCAGCTCACTTAGACCTTCAATCAATTTTTCCTGATGCAAGCATGAAAAGTATTCTAGATAAAAGTATTGATGACAAGATGGTTGTACGAATCGCAGTATCTTTCGACATGGGATGGTTCACTCGAGGCACAGGTAGAACGTATGACAGCTTGTCTGGCACAGCTGCTCTAATTGGTTACTATTCCAAAAAAGTTATCACCTTTGTCACTTTAAATAGAAAATGTGCCAAATGTGATCGTGGTCATGATAAAGGGGATCACGACTGTAGGTGCAACTTTACAGGGAGCGCAAAGGCAATGGAGCCTAAGGCTGCAGTATTGCTCACAAAAAATAACCCGATATTGGTTGCACGTAAATTAGAAGTCGGAATATTTATTGCTGACAACGATTCTAGCTCGATTAGTGCTGTGCGACAAGCTTGCGATCATGAAGTACCTAAACAAAGTGATAAAAACCATACAACCAAAGGAGTTGTAAACGCACTGTACAAAATTCAAAAAAGTCATAAAGAACTGAACAGTGTTGCTATTCAGTACCTTAAAAAATGTTTTACGTATTGCGTATCACAAAATCAAGGAAACAGTTTAGCCATGGCAAGTGCAATTAAAAATATACCATATCATTGTTTTAATTTTCACAATAATTGTGGAGATTGGTGCAATTATAAGACAGAGCAAGAAAATTACGTACACTCGAATATTGGCGATGGCTTTCATAGTGATATTTTATTCAACGCTTTAAAAGATATATTTAATTCTCTATCTACGAAATCTAGTCAATTTGTTTCTAATGCCTCAAGCAATGCCAATGAAAGCTTGAATGCTATGATTGTTAGCAAGGCGCCTAAAACGAGGCTGTATGGCAAAACGGCATCAAGTGATATTAGAGTAGCTAGTGCAATCAATAAAAAAAACTTTGGTGAAAAATATAATTTGACTCTAGCTGAGAAACTAAGTTTGTCACCAGGTAAATATTCTGCAAAATACTACGGTAAAGTAGACTCCTTCCACAAAAAAAGATATGCTAAGTCTGTAGCGCGTAGCACAAAATTAAGGAGATTAGCTTTGAAGAAATCAAAAACGGGACTAAAAAACAGAAAAGAAACCGAAGAAGGCATCACGTATGAGAGTAATATTGGTTTATGTAGTGTTGAAGTGGAAACCATCCCGATCGCAACTTTTAACTTGAACTCAAAATCAATAATCATCTTTTTCGATTTGGAAACGGGCGGACTTTCAAAATCTAGCGATATTCTGCAGTTAGCTGCTAAATATAAGGATTATGAGTTCTCTGTATACATTAAGCCAGCGCAAAAAATTTCAGAAGAAGCCAGTGGGGTACATGGTTTGCGGCTGACAGATGGAGTCCTGCAATTACATGGAAAACCTGTCCTTACTATCTCATTGTCAGAAGCTTTGTTGGCCTTTTATGAGTTCCTTTGTTTGTTTAAAAAACCGTGTATATTAACAGCACACAACTGTGCGTTCGACCGCCCACGATTGATGGCTGCTTTTGAAAAAGTTTTTATGACCAAACATTTTCAGAGCATAGTTCATGGATTCTGTGATACTCTTCGTATCACACGAAGAATCACTGGGAAAAACAGCAAAGGTAGCAACAAATTAGAGACTCTAGCTCAACTATTTGATATAAGCTGTAATAAAGCACACGATGCTCTACAAGACGTTGTTATGTTACAGCAAGTTGTTGAGAAACTAAAAATCAAGAATAGTGATTTATACCAAAATGTTTGTACTTGGAGCGACGTTGAGAGAAAAATTCAGTATTCCAAAAATTTACCAAATTTCCTAAAAAATTTAACCGCGTTAGATGAATGTTTATCTCTTAATATGAGGAAAAAGTTAGTCGCTGCACAAACAACATATGATATGGTTATTGATGCTTTTGAAAAAGAAAAATTTGAAGGACTTTTGAATTTATTTGGAAAAGATGAAAATGGATTTGTTATAGTAACAAAGAATAAACAAATCTTGGATAAATTGTATGCATATTTACAAAATCTACTCGACATTGTTTCAAAACCAAATTATTAAATTAATCAGACAGTTTTCTACTGTTTGTAACTATTTTTAAAATATGTAGTTGTGTAATTGTCGATTGAAAACAAATGTTTCACAATTTATGTTCCTTTGTAATAAAAATGTATCATTTACAATAATAACGTTTTTTATCATCATCCACTTCGAATTTACACGTATAACTGTATATATACTGACCCACTATTAAACAATTAAAACATTAATCATCAATTTTGACTTCGCTCGACACCATCACTGACTTATGTCTCGTAAGTGCTATACTGTAAATATTTGAAATGGAGCGCGCGCTCTAACCTATTCTGCGGGGTTGCCACATTACCGCTTTTATAATCAGCTATCTGCTATTTATGACATTTTTTATTGTTAAATCTTTTGTCGCAACTCTCACAGCTATCTTATCTGCGTTTTTAGAGTCGCATGATGTTCTTACGATTTCAATCATACGCTCTGCAAATTTTCCCCAAGATCGTGTAGGTAGTTTTTTCGCTGCACGTAATTAAATACACGAAAAACGCGAACTTCCATAAGAGTGCGTGTTGATTGTCCAAAACGAAAAACGCCTATAACTTCTTTCTCACATATCCTATGTCCACAAAATTTAAATTGAGTCATTTGCACGCTAATATAAGCTTGCTTGCAAAATTTCATCAAAATCTTGTAGGTAAATCTATATACGACAGTACTACCTTAAACCATTCCCATGTACAAATTCAAGTTATCTGATATAATATACCAGCATCATCAGATATTTTTAAAAACTAGACCATTTTTATATTAAAATTAACATTAAAAATCAGAAACGTGATGAATTACGGGATGGTATTCCGCAGAGCTGCGTATACAAAATATGTGGAGTCTTGAAGAACTTCCAGGACCAGCCATAAGTAAGCCCGTGTGAGAGCGAGTGAGAAGCAAGAACATGTATACTCTCCCGATTAGAAACCTATACCTTCCGGCGAGTTTCAGGCCCGTTAATGATGCCATAAGCTAGGTATACGGACCAATTACGGCACCATACACGGCCTGTATGATAAGGAGTATATGGACCGATTATGGCAGCCATAGGGTCCGGTAACCGTATACAGTCCATATACTCCCCAGAGCAGGCAAACGGAAGCGAAGAAAATAAAGCTTAACCAAACTTTAATAAATAGGAAATAACACATGATCCAAAAGTAATTCATAATAAATGACCCGGCATATGCAAAAATAGCCTTTATTAATCATTTTATGTATCGGTACAACTAGAAATTTGACTAGTACATTAACATTATACGTTACATATTAATCTCTCATTATTCTCCGTTTTCTTTCTTACCATCATTTTTTTAAAGATCTAACTGGATTTTTTTTCAGCATTCTTTTAGCTCGTCCTCCTTCCCAATCAATACAGTTATTAATAATACCTCTTCGAGTATCAAATCATTACTGAATAAGGTAGCGTTCAGACGCAACTCCATTTGAAAGCGCGAGTGCGAGAGAGAGGGCGAATAATCCTTTATCTCTCTCGCACCCGTGTGCTTGTGGCTTCCATCGTTGATGGTCAATTGGCCACGATGGTCAAAAGTCAAAAATTTTTGATGGTGGCATCATTCCAAAACTGCCGCCATCCACGCCACAAACTGACGGTACCTTACTATGTATTCATGCATTGTTACGTGACGTCAAGTTGTGGTCTGGATCGCTAACCGAACAAAGCTAATGTATTGTCGGCGTTTAAGAGTGAACGAGACGAAGAATCAGACAAGAGCAAATTAAAGCATTCCGCGCGCAAAAATACAAGACAACACTCTCAAACTCAACTCCTATTGGCTATTCATGTTGGCTATAATCAAAATTTCCGTGGATTGGTGGATTCCGAATCTTCAGTCTGCTCCGGTTTCTCCACGTTCCACGTGTCAGTTGCTCGCGGCATTAATAAATTATTAATATTATGTGCATACAACACTACGACGACGTGGTAACCACGTCATTAAGTATATTACTTTTACAATAAAGTTGTTTTTTTTTAAGTCATCAAATAAATAATGGCTGATAACTTAGAAATAGATCAAATCAAACTCAACGACAGTCCTCAGTCTAGTGAAAAACAAAATGATAAAAGGTAAACAATCCGCTCAATAAAATATCGGTATTAATTTACTGCCACATTTTTCCTGCATAAGAGTAATGATTGATTCATTGATTGCAGGGATGTCAATAGTAGAAGGCTGGATTATATTAACTGGGATGATTACTTTATGGCGGTGGCCTTTTTAGCTGCTATGCGTAGCAAAGATCCTTGTTCCCAAGTTGGAGCCTGCATTGTTAATAATGAAAAAAAAATTGTGGGCGTTGGCTACAATGGTATGCCAAATGGATGCAGTGATAATGACTTCCCTTGGAAAAAACATTCGGATGATCCATTAGAAAACAAGTTCTTATATGGTGTGAACTCATGATTAATTATACGATTAGGTCATCATCACGTTATATCGCTACTTTGATGACAATTGAATTGTTTCTAGTGTGCCATGCTGAGTTGAATGCAATTTTGAACAAACAATCTGAAAGTGTTAAAAACTGTACTCTTTACGTTGCTTTGTTTCCATGCAACGAATGTGCAAAGGTGATAATTCAGTCTGGAATCAAAAAAATCTATTACTTGTCTGATAAGCATTCGCACAAAATTTCTACTAAGGCCTCGAAAAGAATGCTAGATGCTGCCAATGTTAAATACAGGTAGGATTTGGAGTTGCGTGAGTATTCAACTATTGTGTTCACTTATTTCATCCTAATTTAATGGTATTCTTTCTTTTTTCAGTCAATATAAGCCGGCGCAGGAGAAAATTGTGATTGACTTTACTGCAATAAATTGGAATAACATGAATCAGTTGCCTGAGAGCCCAGACAAATAGTTGGCTGCTTCAAAAATAATTTTTAATTTTAACTAAATCACACCAAAATTTAGTACAAAATGTATTACAAAATTAAGTTTGACATTGTTAAACTGAATAGTGCTTTACAGTTGAAATATAAAATTGAATAATTTATCCTTAAAATATATAAAAATGTTCATTTAAACCATTTGTATGGTTTTTGGTGGATGTAGAGTACTATTTATACATGTGATACTGCTGTGTACTAAGCATAACTTTTAATGATGTAAATAATTTATTTCTTTATGAATGATCATTGGAAATTCTATTGATAGCTGCACACATTTTTTTTAGTTTTTACCAAATTATCATCAACGATTATCATATATTATTTAGTATTGTGTTTTGATCCTAAAAATACTATGCAGTTGTGTTGTAGACTTACTAACTGATGATTTTGAATTTTGTACATTAAATGAATTTTCATGCAGTATTTAACAATAAATTGCTGGTAATTTATACATTTTCATAACTATTACGAAGGTGTTGGACATTTTTTACGGAAAGTATGTATTTTTATAACTATTTTTACTTAAAGCTTCAAATAAATAAAAAACATNTGTTTTATGCTTTAATAGAAATTTAACCATTTTTTAGATTAGATTAAAAAAAATACTTATCTATACATAGGACTTCCAAATTACCGTTCAAACATTGTTTCACTTTTCTACTCTACTAATTAGAAAGAAATTTGGAATGTGAATAATAATAATAATTTAATTTACTGTCGTTCAAGAGGGAGTGAGACAGATAATGTGTAGACAAATATCTAATAGTAGCGTGTCCCAGCGATTATAATCATTTTCTCTACTACATTTTTCATACATTTTAATTAGGCGCCATTAAACCTTTGACGAAATGGAAAAACTTTTTTAGGCCTAATCCTTATGTAAAGTCGTCAGATAAACGACTTTTGTTTCCAACATTTTGCTCTAAAACCAATACTAGTCCAGATGGTTAAAGAAATCCGAAAAAAGCCGATTTTCAAGTTATTTTGCAATATTGAACCTATCATCCGTATATTCATCAAAGTAGACACTGTAGGATATTACCTTGCGTATTTTTTTTTTTTTTTTTTTTCAAACTTTATAAGCAAAAGATCTTATTCAAAAAGATTATCCAGAAAATGCGAAAATACTTGAACATTAAAAGAGAAGTTGACTCACCTCGCATCTAGTCTCCGTAAGTTGACGAGCCATTTTCTTGCTACAGAAAGAAATAACCTTTAGGTAAGAGTTGATGTTCTTCGGTCAGTTGTAAAAGGATAGGACTGGTTTGAATTGAGCGATAAAAATACAACTACGGAAATTTGTTAAAAATGTATCAAATCTATCGCGTGTTAATGCAAAAGAAGCAAATTTGCTGCTTGATGCAAAAGAAGCGTGTAAAATTTCACAGCAAGGAATCGCTGCTGTAGGTGTGCTCACTGCTACGTGTACTCGTTGATAATAAAAACCGTTTGTAACTTTTACTTCGACCAAACGCATCCCTCGTTACGTGCCTGACGTGTGATTGGTGATGATTGTTAACGACGCGATAGCAAATGATGTGACAACACGTTGTACGTGACAATGGTGTCATCGCCGTCTCTCTCCTGCACGTGGAGTCATAAATGATAGACGAGCTTTCTAAAAAAAAATGAATTACCAAGTTGTTCAAGTTTGGCGGTACTATCACCGCCATGGGTCGTCTTCCAGGCATGTGAACACCGTTAAATAACGGCTAATTCGATACAAATGAAGAAAAAATCTCATACGCCCATTTTGCATATATTTATGGAATCAGCAGTTTACCGGTGCTTACAAGCCTGATTGTGTTTCGAAACACAACTCCCATCAGTTTCATCGTGGCGGCGGTAATTAGTATTGGGAGCAGCCAATTTCCGAGCGACAATACGATTGATGCTAAAAAATATATATTAATACTACTGTATAATTATATACACGGTACGGATATATATATATATATACATACACGATACTAAGCATTAAAATGCTACTTCATGTATTTTATAAGTAAAAACAAGAAGGAAAAAAAAAATTGCATGCCAAAATAGTCATGCTTGCTCTGGTGGATTGATTAAATTACTATGAGAAAACGTTGGACTTAAGCGGTTCGTGCTCTGGAGTAACGAATTCGTTGGATTTGAAATGAAATGATACATTTCCGCCCTCGGGTGGTTTTGGGAGGCTGGTACTTCCTCGGGCGAAAAAGCAGTTTTCCGGAACTCGTTCGAAAAGTCTCCTTTACGAACCTCGTTACGT